CTTAAAGCTGCATATCTGTACTCCTGGTGCTCTCTCTACTCCCATTGTCCCACTTCTTAGCCAATATCTGTCTCTAAATGCACTCCTGGATTTCCTTGTTTCACCACAAAGTATCCCAATCAACTCCCCCCAATCAACTTAAATGCAGACAGTGAGTTTCGTTGTGCTGTACTTATAAACAGTTTAATGACAATAAAACTGCTGGGGGAAAAAAGAAACATTTTTTCAGACACAAAAAAATATATATATTAAGATTTTCAAAATTAGAGCCTAAATACTCTTGCAAGGTATAATATATGCAAGAAAAAATATGAGCTTATCAAAGGAAATGTGGATCAGCTAGGGCACAATAAAAGCAGGGAAGATGACGAAGAACAATAATACACAGGAATAGAACTGGTTCACTTTTGAACTTAGACACAAGTGGAAAAAATCAAAACAACCAACAGAAATATATAGAAATGTACGAAGAACAGAACACCAGAAAACATTAAGAAACTAAACAATGAATTTATAAATCAGAAACAGTTCATGAATTAAGAGATCAGACACAACACAAACCCAAAAAATTAAACACATGGAGAATACAACACAAAGCACACTTCAGATTAAAACATTACATCATGTCATTGAAAAAAGTCAAAGAAACGTCAATAAATTGCAGGTAAAAACATTTTGATTATTAAAAACAGATAGGAATTTGTTCAAACTTTAGAAGAACTTGATGTATATCTCCCCTCCAATCTTTCTGTTTTTATCCTTTTCTTCTTTATGTTTTTTTTTTCCGCTGGAGCCTTCCAATCCAATCCAATCCAACTCTATTTATAAAGCACTTTATCAGAGGACCAAAGTGCTGTACAGTGAAACAACTAACACCATTACACAGACTCAAAAAACCATACAAGCATGAAAGATTAGATTAAAATTAGAACTATAAAATCTATAATAGAATAAAAATAAAAGTAATTTAAAATAATGTATCACAGACTAAAGTCAACATCTCACACAGTTTAGAAAGCCAAGGCAAAGATATGAGCATTTAAGAGTGATTGAAAATCAGACAAAGAAGTAGACAATTCAATTTGCAATGGAAGGTTGTTCCACATTTTTGGAGCTGCCCCAGAGAAAGCAGGATCGCCCCTAAGATTCCGTTTAGTTTTTGGCACCTGAAGAAACTGCTGATCGGCTGACCTGAGTGAACGGGGGGGTGCGTGAAGGTGCAGCAACTCAGAAAGATAAGATGGAGCAAGACCACAGAGACTTAAAAACAAGTAAAAGAACTTTAAAATGAATCCTATAATGTACAGGGAGCCAGTATAATGAGGCTAAAATTGGGGTAATGTGCTCATATTTACAAATGCTGGATAAAAGACATGCTGAAGTGTTTTGCACTCTCTGGAGTTAAGCAATGTTAGATGCACTAACATGGGTGGTTCTAGGCAGGGGCAGTTCTGGCCCCTGTTATGGCCCCTGCACTGAAGACATGATCCTCAAAGAAATTATAATGATGATATGTGCTGGAACAGACATGGTTACTGATAGGTCATTTGCATCAATTTTTTTTTTTTTTGTTCCTTACATATTCTGTTTTACAAATTTTCTAAAAACAATAAGGTGATAGCTTCAGTGCTATTAAGATAGGATCCCAGTTTTCATCTGCTAAAAGTTTTACAAAAATTTTTAAAAAATACTCAGACTTTTACAGCTGAATTTATCAGTTTTTCTTAAGTTCTCATTCAGATTTTAGGAAGTTTAACAGAAATTAAGTCAAAAATATATACAATTCCTACATTACGAATGTATATTAGGCCTAATAAGACCTAGAATTTTAATTAAACCTAATTGAATAGAAATTTCACTTCATGCAGCTATCTTAACATATTGGAATCCCTTGCCCTGTTTTTTATTTCATGCTTTTCTCTGCCCCCATGAAAACACACTGGCCCCCTCCTGGCCCCCTGGAACATTTCTCTGATACTAATATGCATTTTTATGCTGATGCTACTATTATTTATTGCTTTGGGTCATCTCTTGAACAGGCTATTTATACCCTGCAGAAAGCCTTTGTTGCTGTACAGTATTCATTAATTAATCTTAAATTATTTCTTAATGCTGACAAAACAAAGTTATTGTTTTCAAATCAAAAGAAGGTGCCTCAAACCCTGCCAGTGTTATCCACTCTGGAGGGGAATGTCATTGAGGTGTTACAGGAATATAAATACCTTGGAATTGTAATTTAAGACTCCCTCACCTGCAAACCTTTTATTGTTAAACTTGTGAAGAAATTAAAAGTTAAACCGAGCTTCTTCTTTCGTAATATGACATGTTTTTCTTTTAGAGTGAAAAAGTGCCTTGTCTTTGCCACGTTTTTATCTGTCTTAGATTATGGTAACCTTTGTTATAAGAATGATACTTATTCATGGCTTTAAATGTTGGACCCTGTTTCCCATGCTTCATTAAAGTTAATCACAAACTGTAGAGCCAAGACACATCACCATGACCTGTACTCTCAGGTGGGGTGGCCTTCCCTCTCTACGACAAGGCAGTGTCATTGGTACACTTTTATTTACAAGGCCCTTCTTGGATTACTGCCCTCTTACATTAGTACCTTACTTACACAGATAAGCATGGCTTCTTATGCCCAGAGATCCAACGATCAGCTGTTGCTCACGGTTCTTTTTGCCCGCACAGAACTAGGGAAGAAAGTCTTTAGCTACGCAGCTCCTTGTGCATAGAATTTTTTACAAAGAAGCTGGAAGTTGACTGAGTTTCTATCCTTAAATGTTTTTAAGTTGAAAGTGAAAGAATTTGAAGCAGCCTCAATTATCTGTAATTGTTTGACTTTATATGTTTTTCTTATGTACCTGTCATTTAATTTAATGTATATCTATTTATTTTGTTTATTAAGTAACTTTGGTGCCTCTTGGCCAGGACTCCCTTGAAAAAGAGGTTTTTATTCTCAATGGGATTTTTTTTCCTGGTTAAATAAAGATTAAATAAAATTACAAAGGCAAATAAATAAAGAAGCTAATAAGGAGATATATTTATATCTCACTCTATAATTTAGTTTCTACCTACATTTATTTGTTTATTGTATTTTGGGGGGCAATTAATTGTGTGCTTTTTTATTTATTGAGCATTCATTTATTTCTGTATTTATTTGTAAATATGGTAGAGCTGGTCCTCCATAGAAATAAAATGCGTTAAAGTAATCCAGCCGGGTAGTGATAAAGGCATGGATTACTGTCTCTAAAAGATCTCACGAGATAATGGGCTTTATTTTGGCCAATTGCCTTAACTGAAAGAGACTTTTCTTCACAGCCTTCACACTACCAGTGGCACGGGAAGGGGGGTGCTGCGGGGGCTGCAGCCTCCCTCGTCATAGCATCAGCCCCCCATGGTGGGGGGCTGTGGAGTAACATAATATTGTACTTAAAAACATGAAATTATTTATGTATTTATTTTTTAAGATACTGTATTTGATATGGGATTAAAATGATGGGCTGTGTATAAGATATAAACTAAGGATTCATTATTCTAATATTTCATAAAAAACTAGACTACTTCCCCGGAAGCTTCCGCCACCTCACATTCGTTTAGGCATGGCTAGCAATAGGCAGCAGAAACGTATTTCTGACTATTTCGAGGTAAGAAATGGTTTTAATTCCCCTATACTGCCGCATTTAGCGTGCCTATTCGTCTTAGTCCTGTGGCTGAAGAAGTCTACGCTAGAATAAGGCTGCATATCACTAAATATTATGTCTTTATTAAGCTATTTAGTGATAAAATATGAAATTAGTTAATTTTTTGTGTGTGTGTGTTTTTTGTTTCAGATATGAAATCATTCCCCATATCTATAGTCGAATGGACTTTCAAGATGTTCAATGCTCAGTTTAGGCTATATTTAGGCCATGTTTTATTCCTGATCCTGTTGATTGGGAGCTGTTGTTTGTTTTGAATGATTAAAAGAGAAGAAATAAAGTTTAAAATGTTCATGCTTTGTTCCGACGCATTTTAAATGGCAGTTTTTGGCGACAAATGTAGGCCTATAATATTATGTTAAAATCGTCAGCCACAGCCCTCAACATAATGACGTCATATGTTTTCCAACCCAGCCTTCAGCCCCCCTCGCTTGAAACAGCTTCCAGCGCGCCTGCACACTACAGCTGGATTTGTTATGTTAAAATCGCAGAAGATTAGATATTTCCTTACCAATAAGACAACTTTTAAAATTAACTGGCTGCAAGGGTATTAGAGCTGTTCAGAATACAAAACAACACCACATCTCAGCTGTAAATTGTAATAAAATGCACCGAAGTACATTAAATTTATAAATATCAAATGTGAATTGGCAGATTTTATATCCTACTTTCTTCTTTTTACACGTAAACAATGAAGAGGGGGAGAGGAGAATGAAATATTTTTAAACAGAACAATAAATCCCCTCCACCACCTGACTTTTCCTCCTGTTACACGTCAGAGTCAGTGGGCTGTAGATCGAGGCGCACAGCAGGGGAAGTCAGCACTTCTTTGGGGACACTGCAAGGGACAGTGGGCTGTCTCCTGACTCGGGACACGCACACAGGCAGAAACAAACACACAAACATCCCGGAGAGCTTCGAGTCCTGGAGCTTGCTGCGGGGAACCTGTCAGGTACTGTAACATCGACTTTATCCACCTCTGCGCCAGCTTCACCGTGCGCTCCGGGCGCTTAACAAACAAACCTGAGGTGGAGAGGCGGGTGACAGCTCAGTGGTGAAGTCAAGAGACACGTGTTTGCCTATGAAGTGGAAAAACGGGTACCCACACAGGCGACTGTTTGCGTGGGACTGTGTATGCATATTTATTAGATGAGTGGGAAGCGATAATTTGGAGCTCTGGCTCACATAGTGGGAAAAGTAAACGCAGGGGCGTAAGTGAGCTGCTGGTGACAAGTTTTCACTTCATCAGCTGCTCATCCTACGCGGTTGTTCTGTTTCTGGTCTGTCCTGGTGTTTGGTGGCAACTTTAATTTGGTTACAGAGGCCTAGAAATTACAGAAATTAAAGAAATTAACGTGTTTACTTGGACGTTTATAAGTTTAGAGATGTCTAAGTGGGTAGCATGTAAGCCTCACACGCAAAACCATGCAGCGCGTTTTAGTCTGCAGCTGCAGCCGAGCGCTGCTGAGCAGGAGGAGGGATCTGACTGGTGCACATTTGGACGCATGTGAACAGTGCAGTCCATGATGATGAAGATGATGATGATGCTGGCTGCAGCTCTGCAGACTATCGCGGCTGCGGAATGAGCCGCGAGGAGCTGTCCAAGGTGCTGGAGAGCCGCGGTGTTTTAACCACCGCTCCCTCGCTGGTAAAGTCGAGACTAAACGCGTGAACTGACGTGGATGCCGAGCCGCGCAACACGGCCCGAGTTAATAAATGGGAGCGCACACCCTCCGAGTGTTTGAGAGATCATGGAGAGATTTTTCCTGCTCGTCCTCAGCGGCTGCCTCGGTGTCTCTCGAGTCACGGCGGGTAAGTTTTGTGGCTAGGGAGTGATTTTAACAGGCGGGTCGGAGCGGCGGGGATGATTTACTGCGAAATTGAACGCAGCATTTAGAGGGGGGGGGGGTATTCCATCGGCATGTGGTGGGAGGGGAGGGGGGGTGCTGGTGTCTGTTGTGTTGCAGTTGGTTATTGTGTGTAAGCATGGAGATGTTTGTAACATGAGAAACATGGAGGGTTGCATGAAGCTGCCTGACAGAAACATGTGGAGTGATGTGGAGAACTGACCTGTGACACACAGCTGCTGCCTTCTGTTTGCTAATGAGAAGAAAACTGACAGGTGAAGCTCATAAAATAACAAGTCACCAAGGCAAATGCAATAAACCTGCCCAAAAACTCAAGCTTGAATATTTGGTTCATACTAATGATAAAAAAAAAACTACAATCTCTGAATATTTGTTCAGTAGGTCTTGTCATCTAACAACATACTGTGACAATCGACCAGGCTTTTTTAGAAATTAATAAATAAATAAATATATATATATATATATATATATATATATATATATATATATATATATATATATATATATATATATATATATATATATATATATATATATATATATATATATATATATATATATATATAATGTATTGCACTGTAGGTTACACAAATGCAAGGGTTGGATAGTTATTTGAACAACATCACATTAAAGTGGAGCAGTTTGAGATTTCATTATATATTATGAAGCAATGTATCAGGAATTAAAAGGAAAGTGTCTGAAATTGAGTCATTAGTTTTCAAATGCAACAGAAAATAAAGGAATGATATAATGCGCCATTTTTTTAGGCATCACTACAATTATCCCTGACAGGTTTTCTGTTTTGGACATTTCTAAGCACAGCTGTCTTTCAGCAAGAAGATACTGGGTCTGAATTCCACCAATGTGAGCAGGATTTCTCTGGGTGGTTTGGCCATCATTTATAGTTCAAAACAATGCATGTTAGTTCAACCGGTGCAATAGACTTTAACCCTGCATGGAAAGCGGTTATAGATGAAGACAAATGTGTGCCAGAATATATGTTGTTTTCTGCATTTACAGACAAAAAGCAGTGGAAATGTTCAGCCTTGATTCCCCTAATTAATAAATAACAAAATATCTTTTTCAATATGAGCTGATAAAGTGAAAATCATATATCAGGTATTTTTGTGTGACTCCAGATCATTAGAAATACTTGAAGGGATTGCTGCTGCACAGAGCCCTAATGGTGCATGCCTTTTCACTTTGTGGGATGTTTTTGGGGTTTTTTTTCAAACATGCATACATAAAACATCTTTTTAAAAGCCAAAGCTACCAGAGGCTCCAGCACTCATGAAGGTGGAGAGCCACTCTTTGCTTCTGCCATCGACATGCCCCTCTGGTGCGCTCATCATCCTCCCACTTCCACATCCTCGCCGCTGATGATGGATCACCAGGCTACAGCTCGGTGATACACACAGACCTCTACAGTTTATTGAAACCAATAATTTAATTGTACCCTACCCTCCTGCATTCCTGGGGTCATGTCTACCTGCCACGAAGGGACACTGTCATCGATTTACTTTTCTTTAAGTGCATGTTTTTTGTTTTTTCTTTTACTTTATTCTAAATAATTTTTAGTTGTTGTTTATTGGTGCTGTTTACACATTAATAGCTCTGAAAAGAAGTGCATAAAGGAAAAAAAAAAATATTTTATTGCACCAGCAGTACATTAAGAAAAATATCTGGTTGTTATCTTAACACCTTAAGCCAGAGGGTCTTAGGAGCACATTCCGTATGAAATTACGTATGTGAATCAAAGCAAGAACAGCTCCCAAACTATAAATTGGAAAAACAATTGTTTGATTTGTGTGACAGAAGGGCATTGGGGAATATTTTTCAGGTGGAACCACAATTTTAAATGTCACCATGTCTGATTTATAGATGATTAAACAAAGAAAAAATTTAAAATATTTAGCCTGGCCAATTTTTTCCAAATAAACACTGCAAAACACCATGAAATCCCATTTGAAACTCCGTATGAACACTCAGACTTTATAGATCCACATCTTGACTGTAACTCAAGCTAATTTGGAATGAATAAGTTAAAGTGTGATTTTGGCACAGTGCCAAAAGTGGCCAAACTTGCAAAAATGCATTTTTCTACTCATTAAAGGGAATCGGCTCAGACTAATATGCTGATTTACATTATTGGAGACTCCTAGGATTTAGTCGTTGTTTCGTTGAAATTTACCAATAAAATCACCAAACTAAATAGAAAATAAGAAGAACAGAGCAAGCTTATGTAACCTTGGCCGGTTACATCAGCTGAATTGGTTGGCCAATTACCTCTGACCCCTCCTTGGAAAGATTTGAGTCTCTAGTTTCCAAGGATGCCATTAGGGGGTGTGGCTAAAAATGAATACCTGGTGTTGCATTGTTTCTGCAGTCAGACATGTTTTATATGTTTACACAGCTATAAAACAAAAAGAATTTGTGAAAAAAATATTTGGAAACATGTTTTAGAAATTTTAAAGCCCCATTTAAAAGGCGTGTGGATGAAACATAATGTGACTGTGTTTTGGCCTGGCTGGTGCTCAGCTGGTGTTTGCTGGGCTCGGTACCGGGCCTGCCGGGCTTAATGGGTTTACTTTCAACTAGACTTTCTGTTACACCGATATAAGGTGAGAGACAAGAGCATTTGTTCACCTAAACAGAAATACCATATTATCTTGCCGGCAGACTAAATGACCAGTATGGTAACAGAGCCCTGTTGCTGTCCTGCTTCCATAAACACGTAGATTTAGTTTAAATCTTCAATGACTTTCCACTAAGGGTGCTCTTTGGTCAGATGTTTGTTTGGTAAAATGTAAAAGAGTCAACCTTTCAGAGCAGAGTGAAATAAGTGATCAATATGCAGCATGTGTATCAGTGGTCCTGGCTGCACTGGGATGCTGATTTAATCCTTTGGTGAGGTTTGGCCATTACACAGAGAATCTGTTCCCATAAATCTAGCGTTATTGAAGTAATTCTAACATCTCAATAGTCTTGAGGCTTTAAATCTTACATTTTCACACCAGAGTGCTGGATGTTGCTTGTCTTTTCCTGTTATTTTACCCCTGCACATTTTGAATAATGTCTGTCTGAACCCTATGTTTCAGAAATTGTTTCTCTGTAGCTTTCGATGAAAATCTGTGACACCTTTAGTTTAGATGCCTCTGTTGTGATATTTCAGACATTATAAGGGTTGTTGCCAAGCATCTGTTTGTATAAAAGAAGTGTTACAGAAACGTGTTGCAAACACTTAAAATACTTAAAACTCTTCACTGAACCAGAATTAGTGAGAAACCTTGGCTAAAGAGGGAGAAAGATATGGCACAGGAGAGGTGTGATGAAAATAGCATAGAGTGAAAAGAACGGTTAAAAGATTATATCAAATCAGAGTTAGGGACATAAAAAAATGAACACAAAGGGAAACTACAGGTTTTCTTATAAAGTCAGACATTTTGAATACAAAATAAAATGAAGGGCTTAAATTTAATTAAGTCGCTAATCTGATCTGTCTTTTTTCAAGCTCAAGAAGTGGTTGATTAAAAAGCAAAAAGCGTTAATTGCTTTACCTAAATTAAAAATAGGGTCTTTTGGTTTTAATGCATTTATTGAGTATGAGAAAAAATGTAAATTTTTCCATCGTTTGACCCGCTGATCACTGTTGATAGATGATCAATAAAAACTGTCCACTATCCAGCAACGAGCCTCCTCTCCTTCCACCCCCTTTGGTGCAGTGGTTAAACATTCCTTGTTCTTATAAGAATAAAACTGATTGAATAGAGCAAACATGGTGCCTTCATACATCTGAGAATGATGCACCAGAGCTGTGAAGGGTCACAGATTTTTTTATTGATGCTTTTTTGAATTCCTCTTATGTTACCCCAGAGAAGCATTGTGTCTGACCTAAGGGAGTTCAGGAATCACTTAATAGATATCCTTTAGTTGATCTTTAATTGTTAAAAATACATACAAATTTAATTGCTGGTAAACTTCAAATTTCATAAAACCTTACAAAATAGAATTACCAAAAAAATCACAGTTTTATGGATCATCTATTTCATTTACTCCCAGATTAGTCTTTAGAGCAAGAGGGGAAGAAAACAATGGCCTTCTGAACAAGTTAGAGGCTTTCCCCTCTGATGAGATTCGAGTTTTATCTTTTTCCGCAGTTTTAAACCAGAACCTAGAAAACTAGACCAAAACCACATCCAGACACATTAAACAGGGAAGGAATGAGTGGGCTCTCCCTTTAACTTCTTAACAGTCCCATCCCTGCAATATATTTAAAGTTTCTCTGTTTCTGTAACAGGAAGAATATTTTTTTCTCTTAAAATAAAATGGTACTGCTGAAAAAAAGTTATTTTTCAGATATTTACCACACTTTTATAAAAAACCTTATTTCTGTGTTAAGATATCAAATATTTGAAGTTTTTTTAATTTCATTTATTTATCTTACATGCAATATTTTTATTTATTAGCTGTGAGAAATCATTATAATTAACAGAAATCAATGCTTAAAACAACATGTTTAAATAATTTATATCCAATATTCCTGCCCTTAGTTACAAAAAAAAAAAAAAAGAATATCCTAATTATTGAATATGACTCTTAATATTATCTTAATAGTATTTTTTATTTATTTGGAGAAACAAAATGTACGAATCAGTGAATAAATGCACCACTGACTCCAGCATTACAGCTGCTTCATAGGCTTCATTTTTTACAAAAACAAAGCAATACCTACCAGAGGTTGCTTTCTGTGGTTCCAGCCTTAGAGGTAGAAAACTGAAAGGAAAATCTCTGTTAATGGTAATAATGTTGAGCAATAACCCTTCCAGCATCAAAGAGAGGAATGTTAACACATCTTCCATCTCCCACAGTAAGGGATCACATCACATGTGATTTTTAGGAGCGCTTATGAGCAGAGGTGCTGTCAGAAAAAAGGCTGAAATAGAG